TGCTGCATGTAGAGAGGACCTGCTGCCTTAGAAGATGCTGCTTAGAGACTGGAAGGGATCTGTCCTTCTTTCCCTCCTGGACTTTTATTTGGAGGGGAGAAGAGATCTAGTCCATTGTAAATACATATGTCATGGTAGAGATATTGTGATTGTGTGTATAATGTGATATGGTATTTATTTGTACATTCATTGTAATATATTCCCTTCCCCCACTTTGAGTCTGGTGTGTTTTGTCTGGAAAAACCCATCTCACATTAGGTTGAGATGTGGGAGGGGGCTTAGACTAGGGGATTGGATTTTGGGGCTATCTCAAACCATGACATCTTAGCTCAAGATGTCCAACACACAGATCAAGTTCATAATGACTTCTTCATACATAATCATTTATTAGTTGCATATTCACACCACATAGACATACATACAAGATCCTTTCCTATCCATGAAGTTTCCTATAATTTTGTGACTTACATCTAGAAGGCCTATAATAGCTATACATTAGGTTTGCAGAGAAACACTGAAAAAATCAGAGTGTGTGAATTAGCAGCTATTCATTGACTTCCTGTTTAAAGCTTACATTTTCCTGCAAATGAATTAAATTCCTTGTTACCTACTGATTAGCTTTGGCCTGACTCTTCCACAACAATAAATCAGGTGGCACTTTGACATTATACTGAGATATGTAAGTTATTAACATCCCCCTGATAGTGCAAATAAATTCTATTTAAAAAGTGAACTTTAAACTGAAGAATAATTTTTTTTTTTAAATAATCTAATGAGTAGTATTGCTTCTGATACCAGACTAATCTAGGAATTGAAGCCAGTAGCAAAACTGGAACAGATTCACAACACAAAGCTGAACAGCATAAAGCTCAGTCCCTAGTGAAACTCTATATTGCTTTATTTATTTGCATACACAAGGAAAAAAAGTCATTATTTGCTGAATCATGTCACTCCAGAAATTCCAGTGAGGGGCATCATGAAAACAAGATCTAAACCAGCTGTTAGACAATCACACACAGAAACCTAAGGTCACCATACTCTTCTCCAAGCATAGCCTTAACATCCAGAGATATCTGCCTTAGCAAACAACTTTGTGAGTTGTAGTCCAGAACACTTCCTGTGGGCATGCAGATAGGAAATTTGGAAATGGGACACTGAGAGAATAGCAGAAGTAGGATATAAGCTTATCTAGCAGGGCCTTTGGGGAGCTAGTTTCCCTCTTAAGCCTCGTAGCATATGTCTAGACAACACATCACAGATAATAGTTTTCTTTGGTCAAGGAATTACAAAAAAAAATATTTGGGCCCTATGTTCTCCTGCTTCAGCAGTGTATCTTGTAATCCATTCACTCACCTCTTCACCTCCCTAGCCATGCTTCCCTCTGTCCCTTGTATTTGTCCAATATGGGCAGCAGTGGCAGCAGCCGCAAATATTATGGAACAAAGGAGGAAGTTCAGAGGGACAGCAGCAAATCTGCAAGGAGGCAGTGAAAGAGGTATCTGCCCTGAGCATCATGTGGGGTTCAAGGTAATGCAAGCAGATGTTCTCAGGGCCACAAGAAATTGCTGCTATTGCCTATGGAAGGGTAGAGGTCCCACAGTGCTTCCTTCCCTCAGCATGTCAGGATACTTCCTGCCACCCCATCAG